AGTTTATTTACTTTATAATTTCTACAATATAAGTTACAATCAGGTCTTTCCATAGACCCCTTGCACTGATTCCCTAGAGGGACTGTTGTGGGGTGACAATACAAAAGCCAAAAATTATCATTTGTTTTGTCTCCCAGAACAATTCYTCTTGGGGAATCAGTGCAATACAAGGGGTCTGATGCAGTTATCATTACTGATCTTATCAAAATCCATTGTTTTCAGTCTGCATTATCCCAACGAATGCATAGAGGAAAATCAGACATATTTAGTTCATTCATTATTGGCTTTGTTTCTATGATAAACAAGCTAGAAAGAAAAAAATTGGATTTTGATAAGAACAATAATTATACTAGATAATAACTTCGGCACGCAGCATTCGTAGGTATAATGCAGGCAGCTTCGAGCTACGCCCTCAGCTGCCTGCATTATACCTACGAATGCTGCGTGCCGAAGTTATTATCTATTAAATCATTACTATCTGTCCTGTGGAAGAGGTTTGACACAGCCATCCTCAGTCTGTTATATTGTCCCCATATCTGGCTGATAACACAAACCTTGGGCTTCATAATTTATTAGCTAGAAGGTTCAACTTTATTTCATTATTTGCTTGGTATTAATTTTGAACAAAATCCACCGAATGCCTTGGGAATTTGCRGAACCAGCACAACTGGTTATGGTGGTCATCTTTATTTCTCTTTATTATTATGATTTTTTCTTCTAGAAATTTGTAAAAGGAAAAAGCAGCATGTCTTTGATGCATACTTTGGATTTATATACTATACTGGGGTATTGTTATTAGTTTGTAATGATCAAATAGGAAGAATAACATTATCTAATTDTTATTTATTGCATATTTCAAGGCACCTCGATGGACATCACAAACTGATACAGTGGTGTATTGTCATTCATGGTGGCATTGATGGGTTTTCCAGATCTGTAGTATTTCTTAAAGCATCAACTAACAATACAGCTAAGACTGTCTTAGAACTTTTTCTCAAAGCTACTGAAGTATTCCATTACCCACGTAGGATAAGAACAGATTATGGCACAGAGAATGTGGAAGTTGCAAGAGTAATGCTCCATCGATATGGTCCAGAAAACAACCCTGTTTTAACTGGAAAGTCAGTCCATAACCAAAGGATTGAGCGACTATGGCGTGATGTACACAATTATATCGTGCAGTACTTTAAAAACATTTTCTTTTATTTGGAATCAGTTCAACTTCTAGATCGTGATGATGAGGTTGATTTGTTTGCTTTACATTATGTATATTTGCCACAGATAAATATTGCTATCAAGCAATTTGTTTTGCAATGGAACAATCACTCCCTCTCTGGTGATGGTGGATATACCCCTTTACAGAGGTGGACTGAGGGCTTTTACAGATTTGCCCAGTCAGATTACACAACTGTGAGAGACATACTCAATCCAGAGCACTGTAATGAGGATTATGGTGTTGATGATGATGGACCATTGTCTGAGCTTCAAACCAATAACCATGTTGAAGTGCCAGCATCTACCATTGAACTAACAGATGATGAAATGTCTCGGTTAGCTGCAATTGCTAACCCCACATCTAATGACAATAATCATGGTATTCATTTGTATGTTTCTGCCAGAAACTATGTAATTGGTATAATTACTGATAACTAAGATAGATTAGAGTACAGGGTTTGTGCTACAAAATTCACAGATTTCTCAATGCCCAAAATTATCATTTTGAAAGACCATTTTTTTCTGACTGAGTGACAGAAACAAGTCAATTGAAAATCACTCAAAAAACGTTTCAAAGACCAATTTTATTGATAATGACAACTAAAGGAGAATTTAAGGGATATCCAACAATTTTGATATTTTCAATGACAGTTCAAGTGTACTAAGAACAGAACGTTCAAACCCTGGGTATTGAAATGTCTCAATTTGTTCATTGAAATGCCTTCATTATTTTTAATTGATGTTATTTTAGTGAACCAACTAATTAAACCTAGCCAAAAATAGGTAAATCAGTGTACATAATTATTTTTGAACATAAACAATATTTGAACCATTACAACCATTTTTTCACTAAAAACTATTTGCAATTTATAAACAGTCTTAAACTTAAGCTTTAAGTCCAATTGCATAAATGCAGTATGTTTATCTATAAAACACAATTTTTGAACAATGATTCTCTGCTGTACAAACTGTACTTTATATGACAAGCGAAATGCTTATTAATGTCAGAGTATATCCTTTCATTGTTTCAGTTTTTTTACAAGTAAAAAAGGACAAATGGTTGAAAGCTAACATCATACTGAACAAGATTTAAATGCTCCCAAAGCCACCATAGCCTTCCAGGGATTTTGCCATAACAGTTTTGAATTCAACTACATCCTTTAGGCCCAAGGGTAAATAGAGGGTCATCGAACAGGTTGATGCATATGGAAGCCTGCATACATTTGGATTTCCTGATTCATGGGCATCGTAAAAACAGATTTCAATTTTCTTGTCAAAGCCACAAGGGGGTATCTGTTCTGCTCCAGTAACAAAGATGAGCAGCTCTTTTAAGGTGTCTGGATTTAGGTCAGGGGTTTCTTCCTCTTCTATGTCATCAAGGTATTCCTCCCACAACAAAACAGCCATTTCTTCAGCCTCTCTGGAATTGGAACCTAGTGGACTATAGTTGTACTTCAGGAGAGATCTGAATTTTGTGACATTAATGGGTGTGTCTGAGTAGATAAACACTTCCTTCAAGGACATTGGGTAATTCTGGATATGTTCCAGCAAACCTCCAGCTTTCAATCCATCAGTAAACTGATCTACGCCAATCTTGCTTCGGTGTAGCAAAAAGTGTAAACAGAGTAGTTTGACTAGAACACTTTTCTCCTCAAAACTCCATGTCAACTTTGATAGCCCACACGCAATCAGAAAGTCAGCCAAACTCTTTACAGTTTGTGTAAATTCCTTCTCCTCTGCATTTTGGATCTAAAACAAAATCAATTCAAGTTTAGCAAAACAGTGGGATCCCTATTTTTATATTTATTTTCATAACAAATTTGATTAGTTTGACTGTAATTTTGATCATTCATGATTGGCTGTGTGTCTGTACATAAGTCTCACTGTAACTACTAAGGACTGTAAGAGCGATCAAGTTTGAGCAAGTGTGGAAATGCTTATCACTTGGACTGCAGTTTTCATGCAGATCACTCGAGATAGATTTTAATTTTAGATTTAGCAAATTTACAGCTACATGTACCTTTTCTATATTTGCCCTTGCAGTATAGTCAGCAACATCATGTAGGGTCGCATCATGAACTGGCTGATTGGAAATGTATGAATAAAGCATTGGAGACAAACAACAAATTCCAGGTCCTCCTTGTCTCAATGATACTGAAACGGTAACCAGTCATTTCGCCCACGGACCATTTCGCCCACGCATAAAATCATCGATCATGCGTTTGCCAATTCGCCCACGCGTAGAATCACTTTAAGAAATATGTTACCATGACTTAAAAAAAGTAGTTCGTGATTTACCAACTGGTACCTACCAACCCTACTTGACGCTTAAGCTCAAGACTTCAAAACGCGAACTTTTCATACGAATACCGGTCGTTTCGCTACCACGCACTTTCGCTACCGTCGGTTCGCTACCACCCGGAGTCCTTTCGCTACCATCATGAAGTCATTTTGCTACCATTGGAAATTACCAAAACAAAACTTCGATGAGACTTGTTAAAAAGAAACATAGCCTCTTGAAAAATATTTGTAAATGATTTTGAAGCATATTTGGAGCGATCATTTCACGATACGATCAGTGAAAGTGGAGATCTAAACGCGACCAAGGACAGCGTTCACTTAGCTGCCATATCGAGTCCGTTTCTACCAACTTATGACTCGGATGACTTTATTTCCCTGTTTCCCTATACTCTAATCTATGAAATGTGTGTTTTGGGTAGCTTTATCATTCTTTATTATTTTTTACTTGCCAAAGTTCGAGAAAAATACAAAATACCTTATGCGCGAAACATCGATCGACAAGCGACGCCATATTGTTTTCGTGTAATCAACAAGCTTT